CTCTCCCCCCCCCCCCTCTCTCTCTCTCTCCCCCTCTCTCTCTCTATATCTCTTGTTTCTCCCCCCCCCCTCTCTCTCTCTCTCTCTCTCTCCCCCTCCCTCTCTCTCTCTCTCTCTCTCTCTCCCCCTCTCTCTCTCTCTCTCTCTCTCTCCCCCTCCCTCTCTCTCTCTCTCTCTCTCTCTCCCCCTCCCTACACCATTCTTTGTTCTTTCTAGATCTCTTGTTTCTCCTCCTTCCCTCGCTCCTCTTTCTCTTTTAACCTGTATTCTTTGTATTCATATTTTCCTCAAGACTTTAAAAAGTATTCTTGACTCTCTGGGCCCCATTTCACAAAACTTGTCATCAGTGACAAATGACAGTTCTTGTTATAAGCTACTGAAATCCTTGCTTCTGATTGGTCATCAGCAGATTTGTCACTGATGTTTGTCATTTGTCATTGATAAAAGGCTTTGTGAAACAGGTCCCAGGTTTCTTTCTATGCAATATGAATCAGCAGTGCTAATGGACCAAAATTTGAAATCCAAAATGAAAATTTCCAAAGCCCGTGATTTAGATGTAAATCCATTTTAGATGAAGATTAAAAGCAGATGCAGGGCTACTAGTCAATGCTAACATAAGTTATATTGTGGCTGCTTGGAATTAGAGTTTACCCAATTACAATGTAGAATAAACCAGGGTAATAATATGATTGCAGGGCCCTCGGGAGAACAGTATTAATACTGATGAGGCTACCCTGGGTATACAAGACATATTATTATAATAAAACCTTGAAACCTTGGAAATATGAACTAGAACATAAACATATCTGTTTCTGTCAAATTTAGCTTTATTGGTCATGATAAACTTACTCTGTAGATTTCCTGGAATTCATAAGCACTTCTTTTTAAAAAAATCACTTTGTCGGAAAGTATGACTTATTCATGTTTACTTAATGAAGTAAGAATGTGGTGATTAATGTGAGTACACAACAGAAAACAAGGAGACGATTTGATTTGAAAGATATGATTGATAGTGCATTGTGTTCAACTCTGTATTCTGATAGAGCTGTATAATTTAAATAATTGCGATGATTTATAATAATCAGTGTATTAGATGAGTTATTGAGTTTCTTTTTATCCACCCACGCTGTACATAGATGATATGATATAATTGTATATACTGAAGACATTAAAAGCTATGTATATATTGTGTGTTGTGAACTAGAGCATATCCAAATAATATGTATGTACCATATTCATTCATTCATTTATTTATTGCAAATTTGTGGAATATTTCACTTTGGAGACAGAATCTGTAGTCCTATTCAAAATTATTATTACTGTGAATTTTAGAGCGTAGTTGTTGCAGGCGCAAATCCCTTTTTGTTTATCATACATGTGTGGATTGTGAATCTAATCTGAATATCTTAGGGCTACAGCAAATATAGGCTCTTATTAGAAAGATGCCTAACTTTACCAATTCGCCTAAGTGTAGAGAGGTGCCTGACTGGAGAAAGGTGCCTAGCTTGAGAAAGGCGCTTGACTTTATTAAAGAAGGTGCCCATTTATAAAAAGGTGCCTTACTTTATGGCAGGTTCAAACCAAGCTATAGGTGTCTACTTAGTCCACCAAGTTATGATTTGCAAAAGGTCAATCTCCAAACTTTTCCTCAAATGATTCTAGATTTAAAAGCAAATCCCTTTTCAGTGGGAAATTAAAAATACTTTTCTCAAAACAGAAACACAAAAGTTCATTCTGGTTATATCACTTTCAATCAATTTTATTCAAGAAGTGGCGAACACACAGTCGTACATATTTACAGGCAATATGAAGACGGCATTTACTTTATTCTCCTTTAATATTTGTTTTGACCATGATTGTAAAGATATTCTTAACATCAAATCGAGGGGTCAGTAACACAATGACGTAACTCCATTTGGGTCATTTTGAGACAAAGTGGGTTATGTGTTAATGAGCACTTGGGCCTTAAGGAGTTAAGTCTATGTTTCACTAGCCATTGACTTCAATGGGGCGTTGGGTGGAGTTAAGTCTTTGTGCTTCCTAGAAAGCTCTCATTTTTTCTGAACATTTAGATATCAAATACTAATTTTGGCAAAATATGGAGTTACGTCTTTGTGTCACTGAACCCTTGAAATTGCAATCGCAATAACCTTGTAAGGCAATTATTTAAATATGTGAACAATTCAAGACATTACATAATCTGAGCATGATTTCTATCAATATAAAAGGTCATTGAAATTGTTTAGAGTTCTTTCCTTGGAAGCCTTTGCGATTGTCTTCTTGACACAATCAAAAAATAAAATTGAATTTAAAAATTCCTCTTGAATTTTTAATTGCAACTTTGTCATGAAGTACATTTCAAGCACGTAATTGATCACTCAAATTATAATGTATAAATAGTTTAATAAAATTATAGATTTACAATCAGTAATACTTGACTATATGTATGTAAACAACTAAATGATTCATACCCTTCCCAAGTGAAAAAGCGATTTGTCCCAATTTATGTTTCTTGACTGAGAATGGCTCATATTCAAGCTAACATCTAAATGTACATGTATTCAACAACGGGTCTAATTCAACCAGTTCACCTTTCGGTCTTGAGTTACAAAAACACACACAAAACACGTCAAATTTACGGGGGTATGAATCGTTAAGTTGATAACTGTATGTACATCATACTATAAATAAAGCTAGCTTAGCGGAATATAGTGACACGGAGAGACGCGTCCAGAAGGCAAAGTGCATAATACAGTCAAACCTGCTTTAGTGACCACCTGTCTACAAAGACCACATTTTGTTATGTTCCCCTTGAAAATGGTTTCTCATTGAAACATGTACTAAAGGACCCTGTCTACAAAGATGGTCACTATAGACAGGTTTGACTGTGCATGTATTTGAAAATCACATTGTTATCATGCAGAGTTAAAACCAAATTGTTAGGTTATGGAGCTCATATTATCTTGATAAGGATTAATGTAATCTAGGCTTTATTGAGATGTGTAAAAAAAGACCTTTAGATTATCAAATATCACCAACTTTTATGCCTTTTGCCTTTCCAGACGCGTCCCCCATGCTACTACATTCCGCTAAGCTTTCTGAATAAAATTGATTTATGGCAGCATTATAAATTGATGATTGTCTGGCAAGCATTGTAATGCACAGTATTTCATGATTAAAATGAATTCACATGATCTTTTTCTTCCGGTACTATATACAATAATATGATAACATGTGCTGTATGGTGTTATATTAATCTATCACCTTTAATAGACCCACATGTGCTGTATGGTGTTATATTAATCTATCACCTTTAATAGGCCCACATGTGCAGTATGGTGTTATATAAGTTGTCCGTCCAGTGTATTCTTTGACATTCCTATATTGGCAATTAACTTAAGAGTATTTCATTTATCTGTGTTGCATGAAGGTTTTAAGAATATCAATTTATCATTGGGCATATTTGACTGGGTGCCTAGCTACGTTTATCCCATTACTAGCAGGAACCAGGGCTAGGTTTCATAAAACATGTGATAAATAACTAGGCAATCTCAGCCAATCAAATGCCAAGATCTCAGTAGAGATTATAAGAGATCTTGTAATTTGTTATTGGGAACAGGCTTTTTAGAGGCCATTCCTTTATTAAAAAGAAATTGGAATAAGAAAAAAACTTGTTAAAGTTGTATGTGAAATAAGTTCGACAAAACCACCAAGTTGAATATGCCCAATCTTTTTTTAAAAATCTCTAATTGTAGTGATTGTAATCTCTAACTATAAAGCATCAGTATTCCAATCTGTAAAAAGAAATTAAATGCATGATACAGAAATATATTATATAAGGCTAATGTACTCTTGTTAATGAACACTCTATTGTATATCATTCACATAATACAGTTTTAAAATCAATGAGCAGTGCCATGGTGTCCAGGAAATTGTCAAAACCATGAAAAATGTGTTTTTTGACGTTTAGGATATCTTGAAATTTACATCTATTTTTAAACCCAATTATTTTTTAAGCATTCAAAGTTATTACAATAACATTTGAATGCATGTTTGAACCAATCACATGGTTTGATAAGCCACCTAGGATCATTATTTCCGTCATGCCTAAATAAAAGCTGGCTCCCGATTGGTCACTTACATAGGAAAGTTGCAATCAAATGTAAAATGTATTCAATTTCACCTTTAATGGGACTTACATGTCCATCTAAATCAAATATTAATCCAATATGAAATGTTAGTGTATGCAATGGTTTAGCTAGCATACCCGTTTGTGGCATTAGGTTCAATATGAAACTAAATACATGTATAGTGCTAATTACTATTGCCCTAGTGCTAATTACTATTGCCCTAGTGCTAATTACTATTGCCCTATCACTTGATTGACCTTTAACCTTGAATGTAATTTGGTACTATGTACATAATGAGTTTTGTTTTCCTTTCTTTGAGTTTACCACCCTCTGGTACATGTCCAAATAAATTATGAAAAAGATGCCCTTTTGTTGTGAATTGATTCTTTCTCTGTTTAGGTGAGAGCGAATCACTTGGAAGTCCTGCAGTTGTGTTTCTATTTGTTGTTTTGGGTGGATGGTGAGAAAGAAAGGCAAAGTTAAGGGAGAAAGCAAAAAAGTTGTGATTGGTATAAGGAGGTAGGATAAAATTGAAGAGATGTTTTATAATACCGGGCACGGGACACAAACGTCACCAATGGTGCGGTTTACAATCCTCTGAACATGCAAGGGGGGGGGGGGGGAGGGGGGTGTTTCATAAAGCTGTTCGTAAAGTTACGCATGACTTATAAATGAAAAGCCAAATGGGATGCTCAATCGTTTTTTAACTGCATCAACTAAAGTTGAACTGTGCAGATGTAGATTAACATTCTTATTATAACAAACGTTTTTAATACAAAGTATATTTTTTGCCATAATTTAATTTAGGTTATAGGAAATATAGTCACACTTTGTGAAAACATCAGGAAAAACTTTGGGCATCCTATCTGGCACTTCATATTCAAGTCTTTCGTAAATTCATGCATAACTTTACGAACAGCTTTATGAAACACCCCCCGGGTCACAGGACAAGACTACACCAATGGTGCGGTTTACAATCCTCATCTCTTAACATCAAGATGCAGGGTTGTATTGCCAAGGGTACGTAGCGTCTCACGAAACTGTGATAAGTACAAGTTCACTGACATCCCATTGAAACGCGTGTTAAACTTAATACACGCATTTCAATGGGATGTCGTTGGACTTGTACTTTTTTGTGAGACGCTGTCCTGGATCACATGATCAGTTATTCTTGCCCCTGAGGTTCTCCCATATCTCCTCATACTGCGTAGGAGAAGCTGCAGGGGACTTTCCAGCTCCCACCATGTCCAAGGTGTTGAGGGACGTAGCAGCGGACCTGGGATGTCCTCCTCTAACGTCCAGAGTATTAAGGGACATGGTACATGACTCAATCAGCGATGTCGTGCTAAGGTAGTGGCTACTGTCAGACTGCAGCAGTTCTTCTGCAGAGGCGTTCTGTCCTGGTGGTGCCATCGCTCCTGTCTCTCTGCCTGAGACATCATCTACGGGTGATGTCTTTAAGAGTTCTTCAAGCACTTTGTCGGTGATACGGTCAGTCAGGTCTGGGATGAGCTGCATCAGGTATCGCTGTAGAACGGAGGAGCATACCTTTGCAATGTGCTGCCTAAGCAGTTGGTTCCCAGGGTTGATCTTCACAGTGAAGCCCTCAGGGGAAGTATTTCTAATCGGCTGTTGCAGACCTCCTCCAGCCGTACCATGAGTTGACGGTGCACCTGGGTTTGACGGTGCACCTGGTGAACTCCTGTGGTGCTGGTGCTGGCTCAAAACCCCATCTGGTGAAGCATCATTGGATACCACCTCGGATGAAGGGTGTTGGCCGGCTCTTGAAGAAGTTTGAACATTGGGAGCTTCCTTAGCCACAGGTCCTAATCCTGGAGGAGATCTCTGCTTCATGGCTCCTGAAGCTCCTGTACCAGCCTGACCTTGGCTCTGAGCAAAGAATGCGGCACCTTCCATCGCCGTCTTATGCTTGCTGCTGGCATAGTGTTGCCGTGCAGATGCTGGTCCGGTAAACATCTTCACACAGACCTTGCACTCCAAGGACAAGGTTGTTCCAGGGTTCTGGTCAGGGTCTTGGGCCGAGAGAGCCTTCCGATGTTGCTTCCCTGCGTAGTGCTGCTTCGCTGGTTCCAATCCTGACAGAGTCACTTTGCACACCTTGCAGTAGAACTGATCTTCTATGCTGATGGCCACACCTGCCCCTGCAAAATAAGGGCAAAAACATTTTTGTTAATAAAAAAAACTACAGTTCAATGTCTACTTTTTTTTTTTTTTTTTTTTTTGAACATTTTTTTGGACGAAATGCAGAGAGTTTTGGAAAGCCAGTCACTTAACGGTAAATCCTTATTTTTGGTTGGAGATTATAATATAAACCTTTTACAGCACAATGTTGATGCTCATGTTGATGATTTCCTGAATTTGATGTTGTCGTTTTCTTTGTTGCCCTTGATAACAAAACCAACAAGAGTAACTGAATCCTCTGCTACTCTAATTGACAATATCTTTAGTAACTTACAACCTTTTCCCTTATCTACTATTGTTGTGTCGGACTAGTCTGACCATTTTCCTGTGTATACTGTAATTCCTTTGGGAAAAAAACTTGTAGTCACCCATAAGAACATTTATGTTAGAAGAAACACCCCAGAAAATATCAATCAGTTTAGAGAGGCGTTATTGGCGACAAACTGGAGTGATGTTCTTTTGAATCAGTGTGATGAGAGTGCCTTCGATATTTTCATGAATAGGTTTTTATTGTTGTATGATGCTAATATTCCAGTAGTAAAGAGTAAAAACAACCGTAGAAGAACTCCACGTATGCCGTGGGTCACCAATGCTATGCTGAAATCAATAAATAAGAAAAATGAGCTGTTTTATAAGTATAAGAAAGCAGGGACGGTAGCTCTAAAAAGGAAATATTCCGTTTACAGAAATACTCTGACTTCTGTGCTGCGTGCAGCCAAAAAACAATACTATTTAGCACAGTTTAAAGCAACTTACAATAATATCAAGGGCATGTGGAAGGTGATAAGAAATGTATTTCAAAAAGCATGTAAAGTAACAAGTATAATACAAATGAATATAGATGACCAAATGGTTGAAGATAAAAATATTATAGTGGAAAAGTTTAATGAATATTTTTGTAATATTGGTCCGAATCTGAAAAAAAATATTCCTAACAGTCAAACTGATTTTCATGATTACTTAGTAGAACCTAACATGCAAAGTTTATTTCTGGTGCCCACAAATGAAGAAGAATTGCTTGGTATTGTTAGAGCCCTCAAGAACAAGAAAAGTCCTGGGTATGATCATATTGGGAACGAACTTATTAAGCAAGTTATTGTCGGTATCCTTCAACCACTAGTTCATATTTTTAATTTGTCTATGTCAAGCGGAGTTGTACCGATAAACATGAAGATCGCAAAAGTTGTACCAATTTTTAAAAAAGGTGACTCTCAATTACTGACAAATTATCGTCCGATTTCTTTGTTAACCTGTTTTTCAAAAATTCTGGAAAAAATTATTTATGTAAGAACTATAACATTTTTAAACAAAACATGTGTCTTCAGTAATTATCAGTTTGGTTTTCGGGAGAAGCATACAACAACACATGCAATCTTACACCTTATAGATAAACTTGCTTCTGCCTTAGATAGTCGCTTACACACCATTGGTACATTTTTAGACTTTTCCAAGGCCTTTGATACTGTAGACCATGAAATTCTCTTAAGTAAATTATGTCATTATGGTGTCAGGGGAGTCGCCTTGGATTGGTTTAGAAGTTATCTAACTGATAGAAAGCAATATGTGTCCTTAAATGGAATTGACTCTAGTCCCCAAAAAGTAACATGTGGTGTTCCCCAGGGATCCATTTTGGGACCACTTTTATTCATTTTGTATATTAATGATTTTCAACGCTCATCATGTGTATTATCATTCATATTTTTTGCTGATGACTCAAGTGTATTTTTTTCTCATAGATGTCCACAAACATTGTTGAAAACTGTTAATGAAGAGTTTCGAAAAGTAATGAAGTGGATTAATGCTAATAAGTTATCCTTAAATCTTCAGAAAACTAATTATATACTGTTCAGTAATTCAGTTAATATTTTGCCAGGCGAAGTGGCATTCAATAATAACCCAATTGAGAGAGTAACTTCAACGAAATTTCTTGGAATATACATAGACGAGAAACTGAATTGGAAAACTCATGTGGACAAATTAAGTAAAGTGGTGTCAAAAAATACTGGTGTTATTTATAAGTTGAGATCATGTATACCTCAAGAGGTATTGTTCATTTTGTACTCTACTCTTATTTTACCATATATCAATTATGGTATGTTGGCATGGGGCAAATCATCCAAAACTCAAATCCACAGGCTTTTTGTTGTGCAGAAGCGGGTTATTAGAATAATTTGTAAAGCAAATTATCGTGCACATACAAATCTACTTTATTATGAAAACAGTATTCTAAAACTAGAAGATCTCTATTCAATGCAACTTGGAATGCTCATGTTTAGCATTCACTCTGGAGACCTCCCTCCTGCCCTTGCTCAAATCTTTAGAAGAAATAACCAAATTCACAGCTATAATACTAGACAGGCTTCTGCTCTCCATTTACCATATGCAAGGACAACCTTCACTTTGAATACACTAATGTCCACTGGCCCCAGGTTCTGGAATTCACTTGATACTACCATAACAAATGCTTCAAGTATCTCAGTTTTTAAACGTAGACTTAAGTCATATTTTCTTGACAAGTATGTCGATGACACATGAATGTGTTATCAAGCTTTATTGTTAGTGTACTGTAGCATATTTAACTCTACTCTTGATCTTTTTTTCGTTAATTCTTGACTTTGACATATAACCCCCTTTATCCCTTTTCTTTTTTCTTCTTCTTTCTCATCTGTACATACTACATATACCATATATTCCTACTTGACCTCTGCACTCAGAGAGCAATAACTCATTGATGTCTCGACTTGGTGTCGGCTTGGGTTTGTCCATATTAGATCATATTAGATGCAACGTTGGGTAGTTGTTCTCTGAGAGTATTTTGTAAATAGTTTTATATATTCCATATTTGTTGTTGTATTCATAAATAAGTTATCTTTGTCACATCATATGAGGGGGCCATAACTTAACAAGCTGTGCTTCAACCAAGGTCTCCTCGTCTTCCTTTGTTCTACATTGTACTGTTATGATTATACTCTGTTATATTTTGTCACATGTGTTTTCTGGAAGACAAATAAACTTGAAACTTGAAACTTACTCCATGAAAGTTCCTGAACTGACTGGGCCAATCAGCTCACAAATTCGTTCACTACATGACTTTATCCCCGTATGACAAAGATTTGCGATTGATCCAGATCAATTGCAAGTCCTCCAATCAATCGCAAGTTTGCAGTCTCCTATCTCTTATGTACATACATGTAGTTGCGTTGATATCAACTCTGTGTAAGATGGGGCCCTGATTTTTCAATAGTCACATATCCCCAAACCTTTCTTTTTAAAATAAGCAAAAAATATCAAAAATATATTCTAAGAAGGTGAGAAAAATGATTTTGTAGGTGATTTGCACAGTTTATAAAGAAGAAAATGAATGAGTTGTGTCCGTATATATGGCTCTACCTGTAGGAGGTTGATGGCTCGTAGTGTTGAAGAATGCAAACTGGGAAGGTGAGGAGGCATCACTACCGGCTGATGATCCTGATCCTGAAGGTCTAGCTACTGCTGGGTCAAACCCCGGAGGACCTGATCGGATAGGGGACGTGCTCCCATCAAGGGCATCTGATCAAAAGTAAAATAAATAGATAGAAATGGCATAAATGCTTGGAAGTGACTGAGGTATTACACCCTGATAATTTACAGAGAGTGCATAGGGAGCATTTAACTCTCCTAGATTTCCACCAAGTCCAGGCTTATAGATTTTGTTAACCAATTTCGAGGGGTGGGGGGACACAGGGGAACAACTCAAGTGGCACAGTTTTAGTACACACCCATAAAAAGAAGGCCCATGTCATAGATTGATTTTTGACTGTTACCTAGGCATAGGTATTTCAAGGGGGTGGGAGGGGCCGGGGAACAGGGGAACAACTCAAATTGACCCAAGTGACACTGCTTTAGACTACACACCCATAAAACAAGGCCCATGTCATGGATTGTTTTCGACTGTAACCTAGGCAGGGTCTTGAATCAGGGAGGGCATCTTGATGCTCGTCACAGGTTTCACTCAACCACCTCCATTTGATTTGAACTCACAATCTTTAGATGAACAAGGAGAGAAGAACAGACTGCAGATGCAATTAAATACTGTGACCTGATGAAAGAAATATAGAGATTTAGAGAGGAGGGGGGGGGGGGAGAAAGCAAAAGAGTGAGAGGGAAAGATAAGACAAGGAGAGAAGTGAGGAAGCAGATAGAATTATAGCCTCTTGTCGATGGCCCTGGCGCTGTTGGAGTCCAACAATTCTGGCGAGCGAAGCGAGCAAGATATGAGGCGCTTGTGCTGAGGGCCTTTCAACAAGTGATCTGAATTTCTTATGATTTTCGTTGTTTGCTGAATATTCAGTGAAAATCATCCAATCAGAGAGAGTCAGAGAGAGCTACTATGACGTAATATCTACCACTCTGTGCGAACTTACGGACTCCAACAGCGCCAGGGCCATCGACAAGAGAATTAAGAGTGAAAAAGATTGAAAGAAGAGAGAGAAAGCGGGCAAGAGGCCATCAGACACACTCAGGGGAGAAACAGAAATACTTACTTTCTCTGCTATTATTTGGTGACGTCACCCAGTGTGCATTATTACTACTGTTTTGAAGGTTACCAAATAATGCCATGATGTAGGTTCAGATCCGCTTACAAATCTGAAACAAAAGATGAGTCAATTATAGACCTAACAAATGACAAAATGAATAATATTAACTTGTCACATGACACACTTCAATTGACGCACATGGGGTTTAAGCCTGCTTTACAAAAGTCAAATTATAAGAACATGGAGCATCTTCTAAAATGACATTGCCAAACTTAAGCATACCCCCCCCCCAATGTCCAATACCAAGGATCAGATTTAGGGATAGGGCTAGTATAGAGTTAGGGTTCCCTAAGAAACTCGAGTCTTTAGATATCTTCATTCATTGGTGAAGTGTTGATAAACCTACAAACGTCTGGTCAATTTTTGTAGTGGGACATTCTAAAGTTCCTGCAAAACTTTAAAAGTATTGTAAACTGATTATAACTATTTGATTAATTACACCGCATACTCACACCACAAAGCAGTTATATATCAATATATCATTCATTGTTGTTTTAAAGAGACAAGTAGAATCAAAACAGCTGGTTTCCTTTGCAATGAAATAAATTCCATTGATCCATTACAATTAATGGTCAGAATGACAAAAAACACGTCTTCTTCTTCTTCTTCTTCAATACATGTCGACAGACTTGTTGGTCCATATAAAGACACGGAAACGAGGCACGTAGTCATGGAATAGAACAATCTTTTAGGAATTGTAGCGCATGGGACCTAAAGGAATACATACACATACACTTGTACTTAGTCCAGATCATGAACAGAGGTTAATTCATAGTCCATGGCTAATTCCCCCCCCCCCCCACTCAGTGTTATTTAGGGTACGCATATGCTTGTTCCCTCTTTTTGAAAGCACCCCCTATCTGAGGACTGCCAACATTTCTGAACCCCCCTTTCGCGGGCTTTTCGCGGGCTTTTCCTGCCTTGGAGACCCCCCTAAATCATGAAAAATGCTCAATGTACCCCCCTAAATTCGAAATAATTTCTCAGGAGTCCAAAGACATGAGAGAAGAAAAAAAAACACCCCCTTTTTAAAGAAATCTCTGAGTGAAAAGCTAAAACACCCCTTTTTTTACAATTCTCGGGCCGGACTTTGTCGCACGAAAAGTACCCCTTTACCGGACATTTTGGTAACACTAATGGGGTTCTGTTTATTCTTGGATAAGGGGGGTGGGGGGGGGGGGGGGGGGGGGCGGGGCTCATCTCTAATCTAGACAATTATTATTACTGTATACATTCATCCCATCAGAGGGAGACATAATAATTTATTATCTAATTACTTACTTTACATTTAAGTATAATCTAATTAAGAAAAGTAAGACATATAACCAATACCTAATTATATTTTCCAACTATTATATATATATATACTTTTCTTAATTAGAAATTTGACCAATACCTAATTATATATGGGCAAGAGTTCCTTCCCCCCCCCCCCCCCCCACTAAAATTGAAAACAAAATATAAAGATATATGTTTCAGAATTATATACCTAATAATAAGTAATTATTTGCACAACAGGGTTTTGAAAATTAACATGCATAGCATATATGGTTTCTTACCCGAATCTTGGCCTGTGGAAAACCTATGCGAATGAACTCTAGATAGCTCTCGATCCTTGCAATGAGCTAATGTATAAGGAGTATATGAATACACTCTACCGCGTTTTACATGTAGATGTACACTCTAATGTATTGTCTCTAAGATTCTAATGCAGGGTAGATAGGGCAGGATTGCGATTCGTTAGGCCGCAGCGCAGATGCAGATCGAATTTAATAATAAGTCAAGCTCATCGCGATGACAGTATGAATATCTTCAGATAGTCTCCTCTACATTGAAAATGTCAACTACAATATTTAACAGCAAACTCCGCCTGGCTCGGCCCTCTAAGTACAGTAAATACACCAATACTAGTCAATCCGAACTTCACCCTCCGTCCTCGATCATTATTACACGACTGAATATTGCATGTATTGCGTTTATGTGCATGCATGTGTGCACCGCTCAGTTTACCGTGTATAGGCTGTACGGAAATTCTATGAGATCGATCGTTGCGTTATGGGGATTCCCCGTCGACTAGTCTAAATGCAGCCGCAGCGTATTATATATTATATATATTATTTTACTCTTCATGCATTTATGTACTTCTACTTCTATGGTAATACTCATCAACGCCTGTTTAGCATCTAGATGAGGGAAAAGCATAGAGTTGCTATATACAGCTGTATGCGGTACAGTTCCTCAAAGGGAACTAAATTGTCGGAGCCACCTTGCTTGAACTGCTCCAAAGAAGGCAGTTCGACGATTATCTGTAATATACAACTGGACAGTCATTATCAGAGGAATTTTGCAGAACTATCACAATTCTCATGCTGGGCAGTCCAATGTAGAGGAGCTAAGGATGGAGGATATAAATTAGACTCAGGTTTAATAGTTTGTCATCAAACTAATGACAGGCTTTGCCTTTGGTGCATGGTGTTTTGCCGCCGCACCGACAGTGGGCCATAGCAACCCCAAAATGTGCCCCCAAAATTGTAATTTGGGGATGTCCTGTTGGAAGATAACACCCAAAGGCATGGCTTTTCAAAGTCCGGACCGCAGGGCATTTCAATCCCACCCCCTCCCCCACTCCGGGGTCAGAATGACCACATGCGTGTTAACAAAATGTCCGGTAAAGGGGTACTTTTCGTGTGACAAAGTCCGGCCCGAGAATTATAAAAAAGAGGTGTATTTGACTTTTGAACCGGAGATTTCTTTAAAAAGGGGGTATTTTTCTTTTTATCTCTCAACTCTTTGGATTCCTGAGAAATTATTCCGAATTTAGGGGGGTACATTGAGCATTTTTCCGTATTTAGGGGGGTCTCCAAGGCAGGAAAAGTCTGCGAAAAGCCCGCGAAAGGAGGGTTCGGAAATATTGGCAGTCCTCAGATAGGGGGTGCTTTTAAAAAGAGGGAACGAGCATACGCGTACCCTAAATAACACTGAGTGGGGGGGGGGGGGGCGGGATTTCAATTCGGACCGCCCGGGTGGTTTTTGTTTTTTTGTTAATGCTACAATTCCCCTTAGATCAGATAAAGGCTTTAGTCCCCCCCCCCCCCCCCCCCCCCCCCCTCACTCCGGGGTCGGAATGACCGCATGTGTGTTACCAAAATGTCCGATAAAGGGGTACTTTTCACGCACCAAAGTCCGGCTCGTACATACACATAATTGACTTTACACACCGGACTTAGGGGGTGTTTTCAAAAGGATGGAGCACGCATATGCGTACCCTAAAGAACACTGAATGGGGGGGGGGGGGGGGGGGGGCTTTAGTACACAACTTACAAGTGTCATTAATGTAAAAATTAAGAGTATATTGTCTGATTCTGATTACAAATTGTGCAATGTTCGAGCCGTGTCCGATTTTCCAGCAATCAATGGTAACGTTAGTTGTCTACTTCATTTAACTATACGAATGACCAACAAGAAATTTTCGCGCAAATGGCATCCAATGTTCAGGACCCTTTCGCTTTCATAAACATCCGGACTGTCAAGGAAAAAGTCTGAGAACCCCTGCCCTATGGCATACTTCTAAGCAATATTTCTCTTTGAAATGTATTCTCTCTTTTTTAAATAGAATTTTACCCTTTTCTTTGCGTTATACGCCTAAACCAAATAATGTTTCCCTGAGCATAATTAACATTATTTTACCCAAACTCTACAATAAAATATGTGTTCAATCCGTTGAGCATAACATGGGACTTTATTGGAAAAAATGAGCACCTAATCCTTATTCACATAATTTTGAGGCCTGGAAATAAATATGGATTCATCATTATCATTTCATGAACTTAAATTTGCTTTAAACATTAGGTCACATTTGGACGAAACATATAAAAGGAAAATGTACACTGGAAGGGTCGTTTTGAAAATGGGCATACGGGGCGGAGTTTGAGGTGGCTCAACAACACATTTTGCTTAGATATATCAATGTAGGCCTACCCCCCCCCCCCCACTCAATGTTATTTAGGGTACGCATAATATTGTTCCCTCTTTTTGAAAGCACCCCCTATCTGAGGACTGCCAACATTTCCGAACCCCCCTTTCGCGGGCTTTTCGCGGGCTTTTCGCGGGCTTTTCCTGCCTTGGAGACCCCCCTAAATCAAGAAAAATGCTCAATATCCCCCCTAAATTCGGAATAATTTATCAGGAGTCCAAAGGGACGAGAGAAAAAAAGAAAAATACCCCCTTTTTAAAGAAATCTCCGGGTGAAAAGTTAATACACCCCTTTTGTTACAATTATCGGGCCGGACTTTGTCGCACGAAAAGTATCCCTTTATCGGACATTTTGGTAACACGCATGGGGTCCGTCCGTTCTCGGAGTGGGGGGCCGGGAGGCCTACCTGTGTGTCAAACGTGGTAGACGTACATTTTTATCAACAAATGCACTAAATCGCGTTGCCGCCCCACTACAGGAACTAAAAAATGAAAACCAGGACATCTAGAATAATTGATTCACATATATATAAATAGACAAACAAGGAGAACAGAGGAAAAGAAAATGAACGCCCCCCCCTTAATTAATAAGCTCCTGTTTCAATCCCAATGGATTTGTTTACAGTCCCATTTTTTCAAGAGAAAATTGCAAATGATATGTTATGAGAGAGACATTGATCATTGGGTGTAATCAATCAACAAAAGAAAATAATTTAGTTTCAATTGATGCGAGTTGGCTTTATTCGTGTTCCAATTACAGAATAATGAAACTGAACTGTAACGTGCTTTCAAAGGACACAAGCTCATTAGCCTGTATTCGAAACATGGTTTTATAGATTCATGACGTCACTCTTCTGACATTCATTAACCAATCATGTTTCAGATTCACCAAGCGCCTATTCTCGCCACGCATGCGCACCAATCTGTCTGCAATGACTTTACACTATACTAGCGAGAGAAAGGAAAAGAGAAAGGAAGAGATGCGTATAGATAGAGAGAGGTAGATAGGGGGAGGGAGAGAGAGGGGGAGAGAGGGAGAGAAAGAAAAGAGACAGGTAGATATATAGAGAGATAGAGAGAGAGAGAAGGAGAAAGAGAGAGAGGAGGGGCAAGAAAACACGGAGATGGGAAGGTGAGATGAAAACGAGAGAGACATTGATAGAGATTCAGTTTGGGAAAAGATTTGGAACAACGAATTATAGAATTATCTGTTTGCTTACATACACTGCATCGAGTGGCATGCAAGTGGCCGTACCATTTTCAATTTATTCGAGCTGCAGTTTCATTGGTTTCAAGAAAACTTTTCTTCAGGACATAATTCGATTATCACTTTCTTGATAGCGTAACATCATTGAGATAGAGGGGAGAGTTGTGTAGAGACGATTATTTCATTGGATACTTGGACGGATTCGGTGACGTTTGGAACACAAGTTACATCAATATGAACGCGGTAAGTTTATCCCCGAAATTAATATCACGATGTTCTCTTCTTTATCAAGCTTGCTGTATGTCGGTAATGCTACGGTCATAAAGGTTCGTACGAACGATAATTTCGTACAATTCTCCCTGTTTTTCTATTGTCTTCCCGAATTTCCATTGTCTGAAAATCGTTCGTACGGCGTTCGTAGCAGTTCTTAATCCTACCTCACTAAAAATAGAAGTATGATTAATTTCATCTGAGAAAAACACGTTTTATAATGCTTTTGTGTATACGGTCACATATAAAACTTGCAAATGAACAGGACAGAGAGCAAAGGAGAGAGAGAGAGAGAGAGAGAGAGAGAGAGGGAGAGAGAGAGATAAAGAGGAAGAAGGTTAAATGCATTTTATAATTTATGGCGCCCCGTCATTAAAAACAGTGACTCCTCGATGGCTGTACTCTAGAAATATACTTAAAGAGAAGGTTGAGTTCTGGGAAGAGGTGATAAATAATCTGTGAGCGCGTTATAATATTATTGTTAATGCAAGTATGGAAGAACATCAGATAAAAAAATGTTTCTTGAAAAGCATGGCTCTTCAAATGCCTTAATATTTTAAATATGGCATGTAACAGCATAAAAATCGGGACGGATTTTTATGCCACATCATGTTCATGTAGTCCCATATATATATTTCTACCAAGACTGCATGGGCCAAATTTCTTATCATGTTGATGATTCCAGAACCTTGCAGTCCACACCAATACTTATATGCTAGATGATCAACCTTTTCTGATCGTTTCCGCACCGCTTCTTTCACAATGTAATCGCATGACCAGAACTCAATCTTATCTTAAATGCTGAAAAACTGGACATAGACTTTTTAGAACACACACAATAGCGATTTGAAGATGATTGCTCCCTATGAATGTGCATTATGGGAATGTATTTTTTTCTCCAACATTACTTTGGTATAATTCAATTCCTTTGTAAATACATTTTCACTAACTTGGATAAGATCACCTTATGTCAATGATATTTATAATTTACATTGTGTAATACCAGCTCTGTGTTCGTGTTCCCCCCCCCTCTCTCTCTGTGTTCATCTCTTACTATCTCCCTCTCATTATCTCTTTCTCTCTCTCTCTCTCTTTATCTCTCTCTCTCTCTCTGTTCATCTCCTACTATCTCCCTCTCACTATCTCTCTCTCTCTCTCTTTCTCTCTCTCTCTCTCTGTTCATCTCCTACTATCTCCCTCTCACTATATCTCTCTCTCTCTCTCTCTCTGTTCATCTCCTACTATCTCCCTCTCCCTCTCATTATCTCTTTCTCTCTCTCTCTCTCTCTGTTCATCTCCTACTATCTCCCTCTCACTATCTCCCTCTCACTATCTCTCCCTCTCTCTCTCTCTCTGTTCATCTCCTACTATCTCCCTCTCCCTCTCATTATCTCTTTCTCTCTCTCTCTCTCTCTGTTCATCTCCTACTATCTCCCTCTCACTATCTCCCTCTCACTATCTCTCCCTCTCTCTCTCTCTCTGTTCATCTCCTACTATCTCCCTCTCCCTCTCATTATCTCTT